CTCCTTGCTCTCCCTACATCTCTATCAAAAGTATATAAAAAAAAAACAATCCCCAACATCTTTCAGTACTGAAAAAGTCATACCGGGTCTCAAAATGTTGATTCTGTTTCTCCATCCATTGAAGCTGCCAGACTTATTGGGTTTCACCAGCATTCTTTGTGTTTGTTTCCAATTTTCAGCATCAGCATTATGGCTTCAAAGCCAGACTGCAGCATAAAATCTAGGCAAACACTTCACTGATGAGCTCTCAAATCAAGGGAAAACCAAAAGAACTGCAGATGCTGTAAATCAGGAACAAAAACAGAAGTTGCTGGAAAAGCTCAGCAGGTCTGTCAGCATCTGTGAAAAATAAACCAGAGTTAACATTTCAGGTCCGGTGACCCTTCCTCAGAACCCCTAACCCTAACTCTAACGCAGGTGACCCTTCCTCAGAACCCCGAACCCCTAACCCTTACCCTGACTTTTTCTTCACAGATGCTGCCAGACCTGCTGAGCTTTTCCAAAAACTTCTGTTTTTGTTCTTAATTCAAGAGCCCCTACTTGTCCTCTCAGGTGACTGCAAGATCCCACAGCACCATTGCAAAGAGAAGCAGCAGAGTTTGCCCCTTTCTCTAGAAAACATTTTTTCCTTACCAAAATCGATTATAACAAAAAAGGGTAGCGTATTGCTATTATGTTAAGTTTGGTGTGCGCAATTGACAACAGTGATTACACTTCAAAAATATCAAACTGTTAAGCTCTTTGGAGCATCATAAACTTGTTAAAAGGACTAAATGCAGACTCTTTCTCCTTTCACAGTGATTCAGTAGTTCAAGGCATCTGAAATCATTTATAAACCAAGATGAAGGTTTACGAGATATTCAAGTTCGTTTTCTGAATAAAAATTCAAAGATTAAGTTCATACAGAGATATGAGCAGTTTTAAACAGGACATGTAAAGGGAATGACTGCAGTCAAGTGTGAAAAATGGTGCAGAGGTCAACTGGAACGCTTCAATGCCTCAGACTGTGCCAACATTGAGGGGCCCTCTGACTATGGATTTTAAAAAAGTTCTGTCAAAGAAGACAGTGCGTGGTGTTCGTTATACAATTATTTTAAAGAAAGAACCTCATCACGTTAAAAGACAACAATGAATTGTTTCTCATTAACATTCTTTGACCCATTAATTTGTTGCCTTTTTATTTACATTATGACATTCTTGACTAATACTATCACAGAACAGTGAATGAGGCCCACTGTGTGGGATCTGAATTTTTTCCAGTAAAGATTGGGTTGTAAATGAAACATGAGAGACTGATGCAGCATCAGCTCTGCATGTTAATTCTTTTGCTTTTACAATACCTGGGTCACTGGAGAAGAGATAATCTTAAGCAGTAATGTAGTCTAACTTGCACTTCACTTTTCTGATCCCCATCTTATACTATGGTGAGGTTGTCAGAGCCAGAAATCTGCAGAGCAGCTAGTTCATGATGCTAACCACCATTCAGCCAATGTTGCCACTTCAGAATTCAAGGTTCTAACTTATGCCCTCCCTTAACCCTACATGGCAGAATAACAACCAATCATCACTGCAATTTTAAAGGACTTCAAAGCTTCTCCACAGATCAATTGTTCCTAGACACAGGAACATGCATTGACATTCCTTTAGAGCACAGGTAGTTCTCCTATAACGTGATAGTTGCATTCTTCTGTGACTTCGTGCTATAGAAAATCACGTTATAGGGAAATTGCTATACCTGTACAGCAGAACGTTCGCGTTATCCAAACAGCGTCCACTATTCATCGATTGCATTACAGCCAATTCATGTTAACGAGATACGCGTTATAGCAGAACTACCTGTACGACAAGACTTGAAGGAGGAGGAAAGGGTGTGCATATCAGGATATCCCATATACAAGTGCACAACATGCATGTGATGAAAGCATGTTTCTACACAAATCGTGATGGAGAAACCCAAGGGCAACCAAAACAATGCTTCCACTGTCTTGAGCACAAGACAGCCAAGAACTGCAGCCATGCAGTTCTGTTAGTTCCGGTCTCAGTAACATATGCCCCAATAGTAAACAGCGCTGTGTCCTCCATAACAGTTAGAAATATGGACTCGCACCCACCCCCCACCTTGGTTAGCTCCTGATGGGGAACATCAGGGAAGACAGAAGGAAGTGTGTCGATGAGTGGGGTGTAATATGTTCATATGGTGTGGTTATCTTGTTGAACAGCTAGTCACCTGTACAAGCTGTGAGATATGGATGCAAAGCTTGCAGCAGTTCTTGGAGTAGGGTAAAAGTAAGGTGAAGCTATTCATGTGAAACTTGAACCTTGGTTGATATAGATTGTTGATAAGTGAGTAAAGAACCCAAGAAATTGGAACAGAAGTAAAGCACATTGGCCATCGAGCTAGCTGCACCATTCAATATGATCATGGCTGATCTTACTCCTCAACACCACTTGCCTGCCTGCTCCCCATTTCCCTCAGTAGAGAATTCCAGACTGATGGGAGTATGGCGTATTCCCCAGTACTCAGGCTGGTGGCGCTGTCAGTCAGATTTGACATTCGAAAGTGCACATTGAAATCATTAAATTTCTTGCAGCGCTGCATCCAGGTCTTCAGGGCTTTACTTCTGATGTTGACCTCCAATAGTTTATTGCACTACAACCTTCTGAGCATGTGTTCAGAGGGCTTGGAGGCATTCTCAGCAATATAAAGATACATGATTGCATTCAATTTTATAAGAAATATAATATTTTATATTCTACATCCTGTCAAGAAGTCCAGTACAGCATTAGCATTTCAAAATGGCCTTATCCACTTGAGATGCTTCTTATAAGGCTTATGAACCCACCTAAATGGTTTTTAGTTAATTTAATAGAACTCTTTGAGGAAGTAACATGCAAGATGGATAAAAGGGGATTCTACAGCTTTCCAAAAGTGGATGTAGTGTAATGGGATTTTCAAAACAATTTGCTGAAATGCCACGCGAGAGATTATTATACAAAATTAGAACTCATACGATTAGGGTCAATATATTAGCATGGATTTAGGATTACTTAATGAAAGAAAGCAGAATAGGAATAAACATAACTGTTTCTGTTGAGAGACTATAATTTGCAGGCGTTACAAGTGACTTGAGCTCTCAGTCAGACTCGTAACACATGGCTCCTTTATGCCAGTGAGAAGCAACATAAGTTCATATGCAGGGATCTGTTCCCCACAAATGAAAAGGAATAGATTCAACATTTTTTGTTTAATCATCCAGGAGCTTGGGGGAACCTACTGTTTCCTGCTTTTCTCCATGGTAAATCACAGTCAACTTGCCAACTACTCCTTCCTCCTGTGGTATAATTTGTGATCGTTTAAAATTTGGCATTTTTACATTTGTCCTGATGAGTACAAGAGAAAAAAACTTCAGCAACATGCCTCTCTTTTATTGGCGATGATACTTCACACCTCGCTTATAACCAGTTATGTCCTCCCTGATATCCTCCCTTCTGCAGACAATGGTTTGAAATGTTTATTAAATAATCCGCCAGTTTCGACCCATTCTCTACTAACACACTATCTTTGCCTTTCAGAGATTTCACTCTACATGAACTCATTTTTATTATTGGTATAATTATAGAATACTTTTTTTTTATTTTAAGAACTCTCCTTATACTGCGTCCTTGTTTTATTTTTAAGTTCCTCTGCTATTGTCTTCTATTTTTATCATACCTTTCCGACATTTGTGTTTACTTCTTTAATTCTAATTTGTTACTAATCTCTACATTTATCCTTTATATTCATGCTGTACATTTACAATGGCCTTTCAAAAGGTCACATGGTTAACCGACTGTCTTATGTGCCAATTTCCCTTCCCACCATACCTCAGCAAGCACAATCCTCATTTTCTAAAAACCTGTCTGACTCCAACTGGTGCCCACAGTTTTTGTCCCTTTCTACTTGCACCTCAAATTTCCAAAGGTGCTCATCTCCATTTCTCAATTATTCTTTTTTAGCCTGGTGGAAATAAGAGGCAGGACTTATATCAGAAAACTGGGCATCATCTAACCTACCTTTCTTCTGTGCAGTGCACTTTGGCTTTGGCCAAGCACAAGGTCATTTTTGTGAGGATCAGAAAATTTAGTCCCAAAGCATTATCAACCATAGTATGAGACAAGACCGTCTACTATCGCCATTGCTCTTTAACATCCACGCAAAAGTCATAATTAAAGAAACACTAAATGAAGTACAGAAACAAGAAGGAACAATTATTAATGAAAATCAAGAAAAGACAACAAAGTTAGATGGCTGTACTCTCAAGTTTGAGAGCTTCAAAGGAGATAATTGAAGGAAGATCAGGTATATATCGACCATGAGGCAAGAACAGAATGATGATATTTGGTAACTGGAACTTGACTGCTACAGGAAACTGAAGAGGAAAGCAAATCATGGAGAACAAGCACAGGACCTGCCTTTGGCGGATAACTCCCATCACTACAGTGACCAATTGATGCACTTCCAACCCAATGGATCACATTAAGATCAGTATCTGTAAGTTCAGTCACAAGACAGTATCTCTTAATGTGTGCATTAATCTTGAATTGAAATTTGTGTCGGTAGGAAGTACACAAAGATTCAATACCTCGAAGTCTGTATAACTGACAGCTGCAGTATAGAATAAAAATAGTGCACTTCTATATCTCTGGTCTTTGCATTAATCAGTAATGAAAAAAAAAAAACAAGCTGCCCTACACTTACAGTGAATTGTACAAATGTGTGTTGTATACATATGTTCCATCGGAGCTAATGTACTCTTCCATTGACATACCCATAACCTGGTCCATCTTAGGTATGTTGGGACTGTCACAATCCAATGCTACTCAAAAGGTAGTTTTCGGTCTAATTCTATGCATGTGTAGTTCGATCAGCAAAAAGATGCTACTATCATTTGCGATTCCCCTTTAAATTTCCTCAACAGAAGCATATGCTCCTAACAGATGATGGCGAGATGTTACATTACCGTACTGTCGGACGTCCACACAGATATCTTCAATCACTTCTGTCAGATTTGCCGGTGGGTTGTCGATGGTCTGACAGGTGGAGCGCATGTTGTAATAAATAAAGACTGGAATAGCAGAAAAGCCGAAAACTCCCAGCCACGCTATTCCCAACATGTAGGTCAGAAAGACAAACTGGAGAGAAAAAACAAATTCAAACAATCAATCAATATACAGATGCACAGATAAGTATAAAGCAAACTGATTATGCGAAATCAACATAGCATAATGACAGAGTCAGCACATCTCCAAAATGCTGCTTTGGGTCCACAGAATGTAAGCTTTCCTACTGTGCACCTGCTTCACACACTGACAACATTCCAGCAGCTCCCTTACAAATGCTGGTACACTCTGCAAGAGGTATTACAAGTGCTGACACATTTCACGCTCGTGCAGATGCATTCCAGGGTTCTGGGAGAATATTACCATGTTCCCAGTAACACATTCTGGGAGAATATTGCCATCTTCCTCATTACAGGATAAAGGGACATTCATTTAAAATTGAAACGCAAAAGCTTTTTTTTTTCTCCCAGTAGGCAGTGAATGTCTGATCTTCTCTGCCCCACAGAATTTTGGAGGTTAGATCACTGAAAACATTTGAAGAGAGGTAGATATTTTTGAAATACCTGGGAGGGGGGTGGAGAGGGGGCATAGGGGGCTACAGAGAGCTGGCATGAAAGAGTAGTTGATGCCTACAAGATCTTGTTGAATAGTGGAGCAGGCTTGAGGGGACAAATGGCTACTCGTGCTCCTATTTCTTATGTTTTGGGAGATACTGACTCAGTCCAGTGTAGTAGTAACACATGGGCAGCATGTTGGTGCTTAGGTGGTTAGCAATGCTGCCTCTCCATGCCAGGGACTCGGGTTCGATTCCATCCTCGGGCGACTGTCTGTGCGGAGTTTGCACGTTTCCCTGGCTCTTTGTGGGCTTCGTCCGGGTGCTCTTGTTTCCTCCCACAGTCTAACGATATGCAGGCTAGGTGGATTAGCCATGGGAAATGCAGGGTTACGGGGATAGAGTAGGGGGGTGGGTCTGGATGGGATGATCCTTAGAGGGTCAGCGTGGACTTGATGGGCCAAATGGCCTGCTTTCACACTGTAGGGATTCTACGATTCTACATTCCGGGAGATTAGTATCAAATTCCAGAGAATGCTGGCACGTTCCAATGGGCAAACTCTCTGAAGCTAGTGACATAATACAAGGTATTTTCTCCACTCGGACACACACTTGGTGTGACATTGCATGCACTGACAGTCTTCCAGGAACTTCCTGAAATTAATGACATTTGCTTTGCAGACCTTCTGCAATTAATGAAATACTCCAGGATGTCCCTGTTCTAAGTGAATGACTCTGTGCCAGCCAAGGCAAACAAAATATTGGTATGTTAGCAATTAGAGAAATCCGATAACAGATGGTTCACAATCTGCAGTCTGATTTAGCAGATACCTGGCATCCCCTGACGGATTACTGAAACTTGCTATTTTGAGGGATATATTTACCCTGCGCCCCCCCAACACCTTCCCCAAACTTCATGCATTTAAAGACACATAAGAACACAACCATTAGGAAGCAGAAAAAGACCATTCAGTACTTTGAGTCTGCATTGATCAGTAAGATCAATGTTAATCTAATTATGGCCTTAACCACTTTCCTGGCTGCCCCTACCCTTCGACTCCTTTGTTAGCCAAGAATCTGTTTACTTCTATCTTAAAAATATTCAGTAACTCTGCCTTCACCACTCCCTGGGGAAAGAGAATTCCACCAAATTGCAATCGTCTGAGGGAAAGAAATTCCTCTCACCTTCACCTCAGATGGAAGGCTCCTCATTTTTAAACTGTTTCCCCTACTTCTAGTCTCTCCCACAAAGTGAAAGGTTCTTTCAGCATCCATTCTGTCACATGCCTTCAGAATCTTACCTGTGTCAGGAGACGGCCAGCCTGTCATAGCCAATTCCTAGGATGATGGAGTTATTCGAGGGAATATGTAACTCTCTAATTTAAATGGTGTTTAGCCCATCCAATCAGTTTGCTCAAATTGTTCATTAAGGTTTTTAAATTTACCCCCTTTCAAGTATTAAACACACATGCTTTTATTTTGCATTATATGCCATACATATGATTATTTCTTATTATTATCACCTCCCCTCCCCCTAGGAAGCTACACCCTCTATTTCTAGGGATACAACATTAAAATGAGGACTTAATGCACTGGGGTTATGAAGCAAATTGTGCATAAGCTTTTGTTTTCTCCATTTTTTTCCCCTTTATTCATTCACGGGATGAGGGCGTCGCTGGCTGGGCAGCATTTATTGCCCATCCCTAACTGCCCTCTGGGACACAGAATCAGCCGCATTGGGTCTGGAGGCACATGTAAGCCAGACGAGCTAAGGATGGCAGTTTCCTTCCCTAAAGGACATTAGTGAGCCATTAGACTCTTAATTCCAGATATTTATGGAATTCAAATTCCACCATCTGCCATGGCAGGATTTGAACCCAGGTCCCCAGAACATTATCTGGGTCTCTCGATTAATAGTCCAGTGATAACCTCCCCAATTTGCAGTAGCTTCTTTTGATATTGACGTTTTCAGTACATAAGGAACAACATATATTTTCCTTTTAGACTGGAATGGAGGTCATGTACTGCTATATCACTAAAATACTGAGACAGTTTGCAATTTCAAATCAAGTGGGATTGCAGGGTTCACATTTTCAGCTGCACAGATTATGGCACTTTTCGCATAGTGAAGTTGTTAACATTATGAGACAAAGTAGAAGCAGGAATCTGAGAGTTAAGGGAAAAGCTGCTTGATGGCAGCCCTCAGATTGGTCCAGCTACAGTCTGTTACAGACCCGTGATTGCAGTGCAAGTAGAGACAGTCAAAACTGGCAAACAGAAAGCATTGCTTTTTCTTCTCTGTGTGTGAGTGAAAAAACAATAAAATCTAAAGACTCTTTGAAAAAAAGAAGGAATTTTTATACAAAAGACCTCGGTCCACTTGAAAAGCTTGTGACTGAGAGAATAACTATTGCTCTGCAGATAACAGTGTCATCATTGCTAAATTCAAAAGAACAAAATTTTGAGGGGCCTGGTATCTATACTTCTAACTTATAACAATAACCGTTTCTCCATGTCTAATCTCACACTGTATACCAATGTCCAACTTCCATTCTAGTTTCCAAAAGATCCTTTACAAGTTTACGAGCACCACACAAGCAGAGTTTGAGCAGCACTTCAATGTGGTTGGGACAATGAGTTGACAACAGCTGACATAGATGGTGCAAGGGGAGTGAATGTGAGAAGGAGAAACTAGAGGGCCAAATATTTCAGGGGAAAAAAAAATGGACATTTCAACCATCCTCAGCACAGTCAGGGGAAGGTGATGGCCTAGTGGTAATTATCGTGGGACTGTTAACCTAGAGAACCAAATAATATTGTAGGGATTTGGGTTTAAATCCTACCATGGCAAATGGTGGAATTTGAATTCAAAAAGAAATCTGGTATTAATAGCCTAATGATGACTATAAAGCTGTTGTCCATTGTCAGAGAAAAACCCACCTGGTTCAATAACGTCCTTTAGGGACAATCATCCTTTCCTGGTCTGGCCTACATGTGACTCCAGACCCACAACAATGTAGTTGACTCTTAACTGTCCTCTGGGCAATTAGGGATGGGCAATAAATACTGCCTAGCCAGCGACGCCCTCATCCCATGAATTAACTAAAAGAAAAACTCAGCAGACCCTGCAACTGCCTTCAATCTGCCGAACCCCATTCCAAAACACCACCCCACACACCTAGAAGGAAAAACGCACCGCTTGCAGCATTCTTATTTTACCCTGAGGCAGGTGCACATGGCTGGAAAATATCCTGCCATGAGCCACCACCTCCAAGATGGAAATCCAGGCTGTGGGACAACATTTCTGACTTTTCATAAGAATGATTTTGATACCATCGCCGGGAAGGAGGGGCTCACGTAGTTAGTTCCCAGAAAGCTGGGCATGGATTTGGGAGAGGTCAACACATTCAGAATTTGAAGGGCTGAAGGGAGGAATGTAAAAACAATTTAGAAACAGGGTTCAATAACTCACACTTTGTGAATCAACTCCACTTACAAGTGGTTTCCTGAATGGTGTTGACTTGGTTAGCAGGCATCAAATGCCTGGTGCTCTGTAGCTTCAAAACAAACCCCAGATCCTGCCAAACAGTGGAGCTATCAATTTCCAGAGTAATTTTCTGTCAACCAATTGATTTTGTCATAGACTGTACAGATTTTTTTTTTGTTGACGGCAGTTTTAGCTCCCAATACATAGGTATTCCACTTCTGTGTGAAATGATCTTGTGGTGCATGCAGAATTCTACCAATCCAACATCCAACTATAAGTTTGCAAATACGAACCAAACAGAAACACCATTATTTCCACTAGCGTTTCAAATATAGAAGTAAGAATAGTTGGCAGAAATTCTAAGACAGTGTTCTGAGTTTCCACTTTATCAGCGATGTTGCTACAACTCATATCCCAGGAACATCAAGGAGCACAAGGAAAACTAATCAGTGTCAGCTGATTGAACTGTGAAATTTTCTAGTTCTGGAGCAGCGTCCATTTATTCCGGGTTCTATCAAATGGTCAATAGAACCTCCCTCAGAAAGGAGGAGAGATGACACAGAGTGGTTAATGTGTAGTGAATGAACTGCCAGAGGAAGAGGTGGATGCAAGTACAGTTACAAAGTTTAAAAGACATTTGAATAAGCACATGAATAGAAAAGTTTGGAGGGATATGGACCAGGAGCGGGCAGTTGGGACTAATTTAGTATGGAATTATGTTTGGCATGGACTAGTTAGACCAAAGGGTCTGTTTCTGTGCTGTATGACTCTAAGATCCAATTAAAATCAAACATCATAGAGGTTTCAGAGTCGGTCTTGCCTACATCCATGTAGAGGTTCTTGTCGTGCACTCTGTGGTACCTAACGCTTTCTCTAGGAATGTAAGTGAATTCAAAGGCCCTGATGTACAGCGGCAGTGATGACAAGGCAATCCTAGTGCCAATGACCCCAGGTCAATTTGCACTTGTTTAAATATTGAATGGTCGACCAGGAATACACCTACAGGAATAAATCCTTTGAGGTGACATTAAAATGATTTGTTGTAGGATTTCTAAAACAATCAATGGCAGAAAAATCCTAGAGATAGTAGGGGAGTAGGATATTTATTCCTGTGAATTTTAGCAAAATCTTTAACCATGATAATTTCTTGCCAAAGTGGTTTCTCAAGTTTTCAGAACAGTTTCCAGACTGGCAATTTGCAAGGAAGGACTCAAACAAATAGTGACAAAAGGAAGCAAGCCCAGAGCTGTATGGATGTCCACCTGGAATACTATAGAAAAGGCTAGTTGCTGGGTTTGCAGGAAGAGGACTTCACTGGAACAAGAACAAAACTGCTGGTAGTGGAGCTGAACTGCACCTTACCCTCTCCTAAGAGTGGCCTCGTGCCTCTATAACTGTAATGATATGACAAGGATAACTAAGGTAAGATAGTTATAAACTTCTCCTCTCAACTTCGGCCACTAAAATGCTATGGTAAATCCTAACTTACAGCACTTCATGGTTCAACAGTTGACTTTTTAATGTTTGATTCATCAACACACATTCACTTTGCATGCTGCCCTTACATGTCCAGTCTCTGATAGTATATAGTCCATCGAACACATGTCAATACCTGTTCTATTCGTGGCCAACTGGGAGGTTTCCTTCAGTTTTATACCATCATGTACTGCTGATAACAGTGTTCCACTCAAAACTGGCACACACAAGGTCAGGAGAGGTGGCTCAGTGTGGTCTCACTACCTTCTGTTTGTTTTCTCCTTCTCTAACCAGGAGGTAAATTAGGAAAATTGGTGCTATTCAACAGTTTCACAGTTAGAAGGGAAATTCAGCAGCTTTCAAACACAAAAAGAAATCCTAAAATATACAGGCTAACATTAAAAAAAGGAAAGAAATCTGTCATTTTAAATAGATTACTTCCACCAAATGGCTTAGCTCATTAGAAGGTTGCACCTCATTTACCTGTGCATTACACTGATGGAAACAACTCTTTATGGGGGCATTATTGATATGAAGTTTATCCCCTTACACCATGCCTATAATTGCCAATGTAATGAAAGACCCATAGAGGTTTTAGATTAGAGCATTCCCAATAGCAATTCCCTAAAAAAACATATTTCGATAAAAAAAAATACTGGCATGACATTGGTGGAAATGAGTTTCATCCAAAAATCCCAACTTCTAGATGCTGACACGTATCGGAAACCTCTTTCAACTCACCAAAAATTGCAATAAATATTTAGTTCTATATTTGGGCTCTTGTAACAGTTTTCAACCTCACTGTGCATTTTGTTACTCTGCAGTGTTATTCTACACTGGCTGCAAAGCAGAAGTGTCTTGGAGCTGGTCTCCCAAATTTTATCGCATTGCACTTTTGGAGATTACACACGCAAAGTTGCAGATCATCAATGCTGACTGTTGAGAACAAAGCAATGGAATCTAAAATCGCACGCCTACCCACTTGCCAGCTAATACTCAACAAAATAAGATCCAGGTCTTACTTTCAGGAGTTTCTGAACTAAGCACCATCACCTTAGAATACTAGCTTCGCATTACAAGTATGAGATGCGCACTTCAAATGTAAACATTAGGTCAAAATGATCATCCAGTAAGGCAGTGCACTCACGCTCAGCATTCTTTTTGCCAAACCCAGTTCCTTTGCTGTAAACTCATAGCTCTGTTTGTCAGGTATACTTGGAATGCCAACACAAAGATAGTTCTGAAATGAGGAACTACAGCCTGTTGTTCATACCATTCCACTGATGCAGCGTCCACACACAGTGGTCTTGAACTCGCCATGAATTTCCTTTACAGCGCTTGTGGTGTAAAACCCTTCTGCCAGAAGGATTATTCCATAGAGGAAGAAGAATGAAGCAATTCCATAGATGACATACTGCATCATCTGGATTCTGAAGAGAGACAAAGAGGTAAATGTCACACATTGCAGCGCAAACATTTTCCAAGCTGTACGTCTGGAAGAAAAAAAAATAGGCTTTCACGTCAAACTTCACTTTTCAACTGATGAGTAAAAACAAGAGTTAAAAAGAAAGCAAATTGGCAAAATTAGAGGCAACTTTGATTATTGATTCAATACGTGTGTGATGCCAGAAAACTGAAATCATAAATGTTGGAAGATACACTCTCCAATGTGTGCAGAAGTCATAGCTAAGTTGTAGAAAACTACGAAGCAAATGGTTAATACACTGAAAACAAAAAGTGCTGGAAGTCACAGCAGGTCAGACAGCATCTGTGGAGAGAGAGCAAACTCATGTTTCAGGTCTGGATGACTCTTCATCTAGACTCGAAATGTTAGCTTGCTCTCTCCATGAATACTGCCTGATCCACTATGATCTCCTGCATTTTTGTTTTCAGTACAGATTCCAGATCTGCAGTAATTTGCTCCTAAATGGTTAATGCATTTGTCTTAAACTCTTTTTGATAGGCACACGTTTGGAATCAGTGGGTTATAATTCTCCACTAAAATGACAAAAATAAACATTGAAACAATCTATTAACCATTCATAAAGTAGTACCATGGAATTTCTGAACCAAGTTCCAGGTTTTTCACTTGTTTTGCTCCCTACTCTTTAAAATACAGCTCAAATCATTAAATGGATAGCATCGCAACAGGAAGGGAGAGGATTTACAAGGGGCAGTGCTATCCTCCTTACTGTCCCCTGTTACAAAACTTAACATGACGTCCAAAACAGCAGCAGTTCAAGGCATTTTCCTACACACTGGGGAGCATGACATTTTCAGCAGTGGGCTGGAGATGATCAATACAAAAAGCATAATGAAGTGAGAAACCCTCCATGGAATGTGGAGGAGACAGTTTGATGAGAATTAAATTACTTAACATCTCACAATTTTTCAAAGCAGAACATCTTTGATTTTCAAAATCATCCTTTCCTCTTCAAATTGCTTGTAGATGACAAAATTTTACATTTATATACAGCCTTCCTTTCTCTCTCTATCCAGTATCTTCATTGTCTGAGGCTTGCTAAGCAGGGCAAACACCATGTTATCACCATGAGACAGGACACAAGAACTATCTCAGCTGTTACAGGAATTGAACCCAACCTGTTAGTGGTATTCTGTATCACACTCTTAACCATCTAGACATCGGAGCTAAAAAATCTCTTCCCCTAGTACCTTCAACATAGTAAAATGCCCCACACAATCAAACCAAAAATTAACATTGAGCCAAATGAGGAGTCATTAGTGACTAGTACTACAGACCACCTTGACTTGCTGCTGTTATCTTTGTTGCTGCAGGCCATCCTGTTGAAACCAGGGACAAGTCAATAGAATTCACAGCGTGCAAACTGGAACAAACTGAATAACAGGAGATTGCTCAATGTCTCGGTGGGGTCATTAGAAAGAAATATATACTACGTTTTGTTTCTCTTTCATTCCAAATCAAAACATCACAAGATGTGGAGACATTTGAGCTACAACTGTCTTAAAAATAGCTCCATTTTCTATTGTGTCCCTTCTTTCAAAGTAGAACTCTTCAGCCATGTCAGCAGTGTATATACATACAACTGGAGCAGTCATATATAGAAAAACAATGTTCTATGAACAAGACTGAATGTTTTTGTAAGCACTCAAGTTCTCTGACAAATGGTGAACTGCTGATCTGCAGGGTAATTAGATAGAGGCGTAGCTTTATATCCAAAGGCTTTTATGTTCTGAAGAAAATTGCACCTTTAACCAACTTCCCTGCAGTCCAAATTGCAACTCACATCGCCTTAAAATAAACCATCTCCAGAAATAGCCAGGGATCCACAAAATGCCAAATAAATTCCTCCTGTTAAGCTAAACTGCTTCCATAACTAACTGTTTAAAAATCTATAACAATGAGGTCTGTCCAATCCAGATCCCAATGCACAAAGAACTACAGCAAAGCAGACTCTGAATGGGATAAAAACACACCCAAATGTGGTTCTGGGGGGAATGTGACAGTAAGGCAAGCCCAAACCAGGAGGCTGAAGCCTGGCTGGATTACATTCCAAACCCCCTGTCTTGAGTAGCCGTCAAGTAAGAGGCAGAAGAGGAGGACGGAAGGAGGTTGCCCATTCCTGAGCTGGCAATATCTTTTCAGAGGGCAGGGGCAGCACGAGGAGCACTCCCATCTATAGCGGAAACATTCATGTGTGCCATAGCATAAGGGCCTCCTGAATTTCCTCAGGAGCGGAGCCAGCCCTCTGGAGAAAATCCAGTAAAAGAGCAGGAGCAGCTCCCTGGAAAATGGCGCCAGACTAGTTTTGCCACTTTGAGGATTTTCTAGAGAAAAATCTATTGGAGGCCGCCCAGGTGTACGGGTTCTCTGGATATGGAGAGCCCACGGTTCCAGTTCAGCCTTACACAATCCGCCAAGCCAGACAGTGTCTCCAATTTCCACATGGACCAAGGTTAAGAGGTTCCAGGGAACGGCACAGCCTGGACTTCAGATCTGACAATCGAATTATCCCTTGCACAAACCGAGGGATGGCTGACTGTCTTGGGACTTCTCAGCTGTGTGGGGCGGGCAGACTTCATAAATGTTACCAACCTGTCAAACTGTTGCCCTCTCCTCTTCTCTTGCCACCACCCAACCCCACCCCCAACGAATCCTAGTTTCCACTCCCGTTCTGCCAAACATTGGCTCCCACCACCAGAATGCAGCTGCACACCCACTCCCAGGACAGAAAGTTCCTGCACCGTTCCCAGGTTATTGGGGCCTAGGACTGTGTCCACTGCTTTAACCCCAAATCCAGATTTACCGAGGCCTCAGAAATCCATAACATATTGGGAGCATTCCTACCTTCAGCTTAGGAGGGAATCATTCAGAAAAGCTACAGTTTAGACAGAGCTGGAATATGGCAAATTCTAATTTTATCAGTGCAGTTTCCAGGGAAGGAGCTGTAGGTTACTAGACAAGCTAATCCCAGTACTACAGATTCCCCGTTTACAGATGTCTGATCACAACTGGCATTCCTGCTTGTTGTATATCCCCAGTTTTAAATAAGGAATTAAAATTCAATAAACTAAATTTCTTCTTAAGTGTTCATGGGATGTAGGTGCCACTGGTTAGAACAGCATTTGTTACCGATTCTAATTGCCCTGGCGGGACTTAACAGTGAATCACATAACTGAGTCTAGAGTCACATGTAGGCCAGACCACACGTGGACAGCGGATTTCCTTCTCTAAAGGAAATTAATGAAGCCATTGGGTTTTTATAACAATCGACTGTGGTTACACGGTCACCATTAAACTGGCTTTTACTTCCAGACATTTTTTTTTTGAAAAATTGAATTCAAATTTCATTATCTGCCGTGGTGAATGCGAATACATGTCCCCAGAACATTGTTCTGGGCTCTGGGTTTCTCGTCCAGTGACACTACAAGCTCAGACATTATACATTTAGCTTGACAAGCACACTCGTGTATGGTTTTCAGAGTTTGCTGGGCAGTTGGTAGAATGCGATCACCAAAAGATCATCCAGGATTACACAATGCCTTTTAATAAAAAAAATGAAATTTGACTTATTCAGCCCACTATAAATCAGCAGCCTTGATGTTCCTCCCAACATGGTGCAAACAGGGAACAGCCAATCCTCTGACTCACTACGGTAATGCCACAGGAGATCTGCTTCTTTATTCAGAATAAATAACGGCTCAGGGTCTGTTGTCAAGCAGCATTTCCTTTCGACATGGGGCACAGCAGGAAGCCACCACACTGACTAATCCTAAATTAGGGCTTTTCAGGGATAATGTCACAGTAAGGGACGGTGCCAGACAGGTTTTACATACTTACACATCAGTCAGCAAGGCATGGTCACTTGAGTTGAGAGAGAAGTATAGGGACACAATCCTTTCCACCTTGGTTAGAGCCACATGGCCACAGCCACAGAACAGCGACACGCCAGAGAAACACAGAATTGTTGCCAGCAGCGACGCATACGGAACTCCTCCAAGGCACTTAATACAGCACTCGAAACAACCTGAGGGCAGAAGAAAGCACAGCTGTAAACGGGAAGCTCCTGCATAACTAGGAACACTTCTCCAGTCAAAAATGTACCTGCATTTCTCTAGGGAGCAGCTAATTGCCCAGAAGTAAGAAGGTACAGAACATACTGTACAAACACTTTCATTCAGACCGGAACTGTACTATTCAATGCATCTGATCATAAATCATCTGCTTTTAAGCAGTTGACATAAAGCATTGGAAGCAAAATTCCTTAGCGCACCAACAGCAATAGCTTCGTTGCAGACGTTCTGAAGATGATCCATTTTCTACTTAAACTTTATTTCCAACAAACTGAAAAGAATACTGGAACATGACTAGGCCAATTGGCCCTGGAGCTTGCTTTGCCATTCAATTGGATTGAGACTGATCTATAATCACCACATCATCTCCCTGCTTGAACTCTATGTTCCACCTTTCCACCCTCACCTAAGAAAAATGGATCAATCTCAGTCTTAAAAGAACTTAGTTCTGGTGAAGATCAGAAGAATCCCATGAGGCCTACAGTATAATCTCATGTTCCTGGCAGAGAGTACTATGATTTTCTAACCATGAACTTTAAAGGATGGGGAATCACCATAATTTCTTTAGACAATCCCTGTTGCGACCTGTGCCACTGTGGGACACAGGTTGTGAAACATCACAAGAGCTACTAGATGACCTTTTGCCCCAGTGATGGTGAAGCATCTTGCTGTATAAATTGACAGCCAGGCTGCTGGCCCTGACCAGGATGAGCTAATGCACATAGTTTCCATTTCTCCAGAGTGGTGGATCCTGCTTCCAAATGTAGGTTGAGAGTAGAAATGTCAGAATCCTGAAAACTCTGAGGAAGGATTTGAATAGGGCCACAGAGGCTTTCAGATTATTATTTAAAGAGCAATTTGGTGGCACACATTTGAGATGGAACCAGCTGAAGTTACCAAATTCTATAGTGTGGAGGGTGCCACAGATGTACCCTCGAACTCCTGATAGGTCATTCATTGGAGACCCTCCTGGAACCCTCTAAACTCCAGTGATGTCAGTGGTCATGATCAAGGGTGTGCACAAACATAATCCAAGTGTCAACCTCACGATTCCATTTGTTAAAAAAGTATTGCATCTTCCCCTATGAAGCTGATTGAATACACGAGGCAAATTGATGACTTTATTATGTTAAACGTCTCTTCCATCTAGCATAACCCTGGACAATAGATGACTGGCAATCCAGGGGCTGGAAAACCCTGGTTTGAGAATTTACTAGATACTATATAATTTTGGTGCACTTCTTAGGAATTTTCAATGGATCGACATATACCCACATTGATACAGACTGTCAGTCCATGGGCAGACCAAACTGCCATCCTGGGATATGGTGTTGAGGTGTTGGGATTGTATCTGCCATCCTTCACAGTCAGAATATCAATCTTAGCCACTGATGTCATGTCAAGGAAGCAGGCTCCTCAGGGATGGGACCAATGGGAACTGAAGAATATTTTACCTCAGTTCACATTTGTAACCCTCCCTGACACCAACATTAACGCAGTATATCTTAGCAGCTGGAAGCACACATCCTTCCAACTAAAAATAATGCATGAGTTTCAAAAAAAAAAAAGGCAGACTCAAAATTAAAGCCATTTTTCTGTGTTCAAGGACATCTTATAGCCTGGAACAGGCCAGACGTGCAGTGACTTGCGGACAGGATAAAGCAAGACAAGTATCAAAATATTTTCCTGCAGCATAGATTCCCTCTATTCCACACTTTTGTCACAACTGGTACAGGACAGGTACAATCTCTGTCAGCATCATTGCACAATTGCAATCAGAACCATTGGTCATTCTGTTTTGTGAGTTCTCTGTTCTGCTACTTACTTCAGAGTAAATTTGTTGCTGACAAAGTCTTTCAGGATAGGGATCTGTCTGTAGGGCCTAGTGTGGTAGAGGGAAACCACTTTGTACTCTAAGAAGAGGCTGTCATCTTAAATAAGATGTAGTATATTGCATGCTAGCGCCTATGGACAAATTACAATTAAGTGATAGACAATATTGCAGAGGCTATAAGGAAGTCCCAAATGGTACATCTTACTCCTTCAAAATCCTCAGGTGTTCTCCCACCAAGCCTGGGCCATCATGAATAGATGGCACTCCTCAGCATTAGCCCTTTCAGATCCTTATACAACAAGTGCTAGATTAAAGTCACCGTGGCTTAGTCAATGGGAAAAACAGCCAAATAATGCAGTGAGGTTACAACTAGTCAGAAACAGTTGCGATTATAAATGTTGTATGCTAATTGTTACAGGGCAAACAAGAGTGTCTGAATAATGGAGTTGGATTTGGACAGAAAACAACACATACATTGAAAATGGATGACCTTGCAAAAACCATTTCAGAGTACTGCAGATGTCGGTAATGTTAAATAGAAATGGAAAATGCTGGAAATATTCAGGCAGCCCAGCAGCATTTGAGACAGTAAACAGAGTTAGAGTTCCAGGTCCGTAGAAAGGTGGTAAACCCGAACGTGAACTCCATTTCTCTCCCTTTAGTTGCTATCAGACTTGTTGAGCATTTCCAGTTTACGTATTTGTACAGAAATCTGTACTGAGATATCTGGATATGAATTCAGCACAATCTCCTCCAAATAGGAGCCAAAATCTCAGCATTACAAAAATTAAAAGCAGCAACTTTTTTTTCTGGAGTCCATACTACTCATCATTAATACAGAACACATTTACATTCTGACAGATTTCAAAAATGCAATTAAACTAATGAGATTGTGTTTATTACTGACATCTTTAATATACTAGCATTTGTAATCAGCTCCCAGATCTATAATTGCTCCCATTCCTAACATATTCAACATCTGTAACAACTCCCAAAATGCAGAACCAAATTCCAAAATCTGTCATCCACTCAAACAGGCAATTTAAAAAGCTGAATTATCTGTTTCTCTAGATACCAAAAAGATCCTCACTCCCTTCTCCCCCATGAACCATTTAGCTATTGGGGAATGGAGTGAAGCTCTGAAAGGGCCAATGCTGAAGAATACATTAGGCACTGCCCAATATGAAGATGTCACAAGTAATCATGGAGGTGTGGGAAAAGAACTTCAGGCTTCCACATGGTTAGATGTAAAGTGTCCCTCATTGTCTCAGTATTCCTCAGTAGTTTATCACATCACTATAACGTGTACCTGGTTGTTAAATTACATCTTGTTAGACCACCAGGGTAGTTTTCCTCTGCCACACCAAATCAACCAGATCCAGTAGTTTCCTGCCAACAAGGAGAAGGATAGCAACAGATCTACCAGATGGATTTTATCCAACAATGAGCTGTGGCGAAAATCCATCTTACAACATTAACCTTGACTCACTTCCACATGATCACTTTCCAAATTCTGTTTCTAGGTTATGCTTGGGAGCTGTTTATCTAAACAACAATAAAAATAATTGTTTTTCGCATGTTTCCCTACAAAAAATGTCCTGTAGCTGTAATGGAAGACAACTCTGATAAAGCTGATCGCCAAGCCTGATAATGACAAAGGAAATCATACCAGTCATGACAGGAGTACCACTGAATGCTCTCTAATTACTATTACTGGTAAATACAGTATACAAACTGATGAGTTTCTATATTGGTTATCACATTAACACTGTACCATACATTTTGTAAAACTTAGTTTTAAACAGGGAATATCAAATTAAATCCTTTCAGATTTGTTTGTGGATTAATACAAATAACAGAATACATTCTAACTGGCAAATGTGCAACAGATCTTAAGCGATATACGTTGTTACAGGAGTACTGCACAGTCTAAGATGTCATCTTTGATTCAAGAGGTCCCACAGCAACCATTCGAGGAAGAATAAAGGTTTTCTCCCCAGTGTTCTGGCCAGTGTGTATCCTCTCCAACAATGCCTTACACAAAACAATAACCTGATCATTTATATTATCTGTGGGGTCTTGCTGTGATCAATTGACTGCCGTATTTTGTTCATTCTCACCGTGACTGCACCGTGGGGTTCTCTGAAGTTCTGAAATGTTCAACGTAAATACATGTTCTTGGTATGACGGCGCTGTACATGCTTCTGTACAGTGTATGCAGCTAGTTGTAAGTTTACCACCAATGTGAAATACCAAATTAATGACAACCATATCTAGTCATGCTACTAGAATGAAATCGCCCAGCTATCCAATATTGTGCAGTCTCTGAACAGCAAGAACTTGAGTTTGAAGGAAGTAATTCTCCTGTCCATTCTTTTTAGGAACTGGATTGAGAAGACACCCCAAGAATGTCTCATTCAACCCACTGAAAATAGGTGCTAAATTTAGAAGAGCAATGTCTAGCCTACTCCATCAATCAGTCTGACAAATGAGAGGGCCAGAGGCGACAGCAATAGAGTAGGCCATCGTACCTCTGAGCAAAGAAGCTGTTAACATGAATGGGCGCAGTCAAATATATAGTAGTGCTAAACATTATAAGTTGGCACTTGGATTCCACTGAGCAGGGATAGACGCTGCATTGATCCCATGACAGCTAGTTTCTGAATGAATTTCTGCTTGCTATGGAAGTCTCAAACCAAGGAAATCACACTCAGCTTTCAGACAGAAGGGAAACAGAGAGAAGATTTGTGACCGCACACTGGAGATCTCTGGCAGCTCTTAGTTGCTGTTTTGACAGCAGATTGTGTGCCTCCATTGTGGCAAGAGAGCAGGTGGCCAAAAATACAGGGAATGAGAGAAATTAGAAACCGGGAGGAGAAACTTTCTCAAACATGCACATAAAAATAAAAACCTGACTGTCACTTTGTGCCCTCTGCTAGAAAACATAAACCTCTGGGGATTGGATGTGGAGTTGGAAAAATAAACTGCAAGTGAAACAGACAGAATCAGTCCAAAGATATATGTGTGTGTGTGTGAGAGAGAGAGTGTGTGTGTGTGTGAGAGTGTGTGTGTGTGTGTGTGTGTGTGTGTGTATGCGTGTGTGTGAGAGAGTGCAAGAGG